ATAATATGAATTAAAAACAGAATTAATAATAAATTAAATTAATTAATATAAATTACTTATTTGTCTGATTTAGTAGTGATCGGTGATTACTATACCATTTACTGTATTGCATCTACTACGCTATACAAATAAGCTAATTGATTACAATATATAATATTATATAAAAATTAGTTTAAGATTTTATTTTTGTAAATTTCAGATAGTTAAAAAAATTATAACTTTTTAGATTATTAATACTTATAAATTTTATATATAATATTAATAAATATTCATAATATCTTTTCATATTATATATTTATGATAATTATAAATACTAGAATGACAATATCTATTTTTTATAAATAATAAAGATAATTATATAATAACTAAAGTGCTAAAGATAATTTATAAATTTATATCTTATTGATATTCTTAATATATACTCTCTAATTAGAATAATATAGAAATTAATAGTATCATAAATATTTTTTTAGAAATTATACATGATAAATAAAACTATAATATAATTCTTTATATAATAGATATGATATATATATAACTGTGCAAGATTTATTATTCAGTAATATTAATTTTGATTATATATAAAAGAATAAGAATTAATTATGAAGAAGTTATTTATAATATTATTATTACTTATTTTATACTTGATATTATTAACTATATTAATTAAAATTATATTAGAAATATAAAAAAATAAATATTTTAAATATAATAATATTTACTCTTTTTATTATAAGTTAACTAATCTATTAAAATTCTTTTATAATAAGTTTAAAAGAATAATAGCTAAAAAATTTGATCTTATAAATATTATACTTGTTTTATAATATTTTTTATTATAATTTTTACTTATCAAATACTTACATTATATTAAAAGTATATTATAAGATTATTAATCTTGATAATAAAAGATAAATTAACTTTGAAAAGATTATCTTTTAATTTTTATTAAAAATAAATTTTTATAATTAATCTTGATAATAAGATTTAAAAGAAGTTTATAAATTTTTCTATTCTATTTAAAAGTTAATTGTAAATAAAATTATTATAAGTATAAGAATTATAAAAGAAAAACTATTACTAAATTTAATATTATTAGTATATTTTTGTATATTCTTTTATTATTATTTACTTTCTCATCAATATATTCTTTATGAGTATATTTTTGATTCTAATAATAGTATTAATTATTGATCAATTAAGAATAAAAATTAGAATAAAGCTTATTTATTTTTTTTTGAAAAATAATAGTAATTAATATAATTATAAAATTAATTAATTTATAAAATAATAAACTATTATATTCTAATTTTAAAATTAGATCTAATAACTTATTCAAATATGTAATAAATACTTTAGTAGCATTATTATTATCTTCATTCTTAATTTTTTAATACTTATTTCATATTCTTTCTAAAAACTTATCTACCTGTAATCTTCATATTTTTATTTCTTTTCACTTAAATCTGAATATTTGATCATTTCATAATACTTATATATTTCAAAATTAATTTTCATAAATATTTATTAAAATTTCTTTAATATCAATTATTAGTAACTTATTATGATTGTCTGTTAATCAAAATTATTCAGCCAATCATTACTTATCACGTGTATTTTTCACATGATCTGGATCCGGATTGAATCCAAAATCACATGATACTATCCGGCTTTAGTGGATCCCCATATTAAGATAGAATTTTCCGAGATCGACAAAACTTTTATATTCTCATTGATAATTCCCGCCATATGATGATTACAGCATCAAAGAATCTATCTACTATAACGCGCTCGAGGTTCCGCGGTAGGTATTCATAACTTTCTTAACTTGAAAAAAATAGTAGTGTAGGTATAATAAGCATCTATATATTTATTATTGTAGTTGTTTCCTCCACACCTTACAAAAAAGTAAAAGTATGACCACAGAACACCCGGCAGTTTCACGATTTAGAGAGTATTTACGTATAAAAACAGTCCAGCCGAATCCTGATTATGATTCTTCGACTACATTTTTGTTAAGAGAGGCTAAAGAGATTGGGGTGTCTTCGAGAATCTTGACGGTAATTTTTTGTCTTCAGAGTACATTGATTTTAGATATCTACAGAAATTGTATCTTATCCTAAATACAATATAATTAGTATGTACCAGGTAAACCTATTGTTTTACTTACCTGGGGAGGCCGTGATCCAAAACTGCCCTCCATATTGTTAAATTCTCATACGGATGTTGTACCTGTATTCGAGGTAATATACCGTCATTTGTAAATGTGCATGGGTATATGTGTCTTAATATTTATATTTGTAAAACTGAAGGATAAATGGATCTGTGATCCATTTGAAGCAAAGAAACTAGAGAATGGTGATATTGTTGCGCGGGGCGCACAAGATATGAAGTGTGTTGGGACCAGTTATCTCGAAGCGATACGTAATCTAAAAGCAAAAGGCAAACAACCGCTACGTACTATACATCTTTCTTTTGTTCCCGGTAAATACAACAGATACTTATGAACAAATAGTATTACTATAATAGTATCAATAATGGTAACGTATTAATTTTTAAAAAAAAATGGCTTATTTAAAGACGAGGAAATTGGCGGCGTAGACGGAATGGCAAAATTTGTCAAATCACAAGATTTCCGAGACTTGAATGTGGGATTTGCGCTAGATGAGGGTCTCGCCAATCCTTCCGACGCTCTAAAAGTTTTCTACGGTGAACGAGCTCCATGGTGGATTATAGTCACAACTAGGGGAAATACTGGGCACGGATCACAGTTTATTCGGGATACTGCCGTTTCGAAACTAGCATGTATTCTTTTTATTGATAAATCGTAATTCTCGAGTATTGTTTTTAATGATATCGATTATTTCATCTTCATAGAATAGAATAATTAATCGGTTCTTGGAATTTCGCGCGTCGCAAGAACGACAATTGGAGATAAATGTCCATGCAGATGGCAGAAAATACAGTCTCGGAGATGTGAGCAGTGTGAATCTTACTATTTTACAAGTAAGTATGTAAATGAGTGGCAAGGCAAAGTACCTAATTTACAATTGAAATTCGAATACTTTATTACAATTCTTATAGCTTTATACGTAATAATCGTTGTTTATTAATATAATGTATCTATAATATAATATTATTATGATTATTAAAAAAAAGGCTGGCGTACAACATAATGTTATCCCACAAGAAGCGAAAGCAGGATTTGATATTCGTGTATCACCGCATTTCGATCTCCCGCGATTTAAGCAGATTATTGAGGAATTCGTGTATACTGAGCCGGAGTAAGCTATTTATTATCTTTCGCAATTTTGTTATATATATTTATATATACATCCTAATAACCTGATAATCAAAAGTGCCGAGTTGGAATATGTACAGTACCATGGAGACAATAGCTTAACTGCCATCGACGACTCTAATGTTTGGTGGGTGGTCTTTCGTGATTTCTGTCAAAAACGGTAAGTAAACTCAAAATAAACATCGCTTGGTTTGAACCAAAATATATAATGTCTTTTATCATTCCCACACAACCTATGTGCATTGCCTTGATCATCTCTTACAGAAACGTTTCAATCGAGACAGAAATTTTTCCAGCGGCAACCGATTCGCGATATATTCGTGAAATCGGAATTCCCGCATTAGGCATTTCATACATCAAAAACACGCCCGTTCTGCTACACGATCACAATGAGCGATTGAATGAGAAAATTTATTTGGAAGGGGTGGAGTTTTATACAGATTTGATTGAGGTTTTGGGTGAAGTAACAAGATAAAAATACAATAATCGATATTTGAACATACCACCTCAACATCACATACCCACAAATCCTATCAAAAATATTTATATCCGTATCAGGATGCTTTTAACTTATTATTTATCTACTATTCACGGCTTCTTTATGTCGAAAGAAAAACTTTGTGGACAATAATAGTGAGGGTTCACTTTTATTTTATGCCAAATAAATATAAAAAAAATCCCTACTTACATACATACATAAAACCTCCCCCAATAATACACGTATATGTATATATTATATATACACACACAAATGGTAACGCAATCGTATCAAAACAACCTACTCGAGAGAAATATATTATATATACTGCAAACAAAAGGAAGATTATATAGAATTTTATTATTATAAGTATAATAATATACTATACGTCATTTGTGTGTTACGACTATTTACTGTGTAATAAAGAAAGAAAAAAAATGTACAAGAGAAGAGTAGTAAAAAAAAAACAAAAAGGGGTAATGAGAAGTTGTTGAATTAAGATTATTATTGTTGCTTCGTAATGGTCAAATTTTGTGGATGGAAAATATCAACATTAATGATACGATAACCAATTATAATAAAATCAATTCTAACAAAAAATAATTCTTTTATATGTTCAAAGCAAATGAATGCCAACTCAAAATAAGAACGGGCAAAAAAAATTAATGTAATTATAATTAAAATTATAAAAGGAAGGATAAGAAAAAAAATAGTAATAGAAATAAGGTTGCCGGGAGTGACTATATATTTTGGTTGTAGCTTTTTAATACAAGAAGGAAGTATGTGTGAAAGGTGAGAGTGAAGAAAAAGAATTATAATAAAAAAATCAAATAAACACGAAACCAGTAAAGTAAAGGAAAAAATTTACACAATGAATAAATTTAATGATATATAATAAAAATAAAGTGTATTTGTACTATTGTATATATATTTTATATGTATATATAAAGTAATGTGCAAGAAAAACTCTAATTTTTCAATTTATATATATATATATATAATTATAATTGCTCTAGGTATTATTGTTCTGTAATAATGTTAATGATGATAATGATTTTTTTTAGCAAGCAAATAAGAAATCTAGAAATATTTTTCGCCGTCGATTCCACACTATTTATTGATGTTCCGTATTTTAGAGAGCCCCTGATTATGAATTTGAGAACCATGAGTTTATGTTTGAATAAAAAAAATTTGTTTACAAAAATCTGGAAAAATAAATTGAGACTTACATGTTTGTCCAAAACTTTACTAATTTGTTCTGGGGTAGCTTTAGGGAAGATCGTTTTTATCGTGAAGGAAGAGTCTTTTAATTTATTCTCGAGTGCCCCTTCCCCCTTTATAAATAAAGGGTATGTTTAATAAAAGAAAAAAATACAAAACCAAAAAAATAATATGAAAATACTTACAATTTCCGACATCAAGGCATTGAGATAGGCTAACATGGCTTTTGCTGCACAGGGTTCCACGTTTGATAGGTCCATAGTTGAGATCAATTCAGCTGTTTCATCAATCTCAAGTCCTGCGCTATGGAGTAGCTGACCGGTGAAATCGGACACGTGTGGTACATCGAGTTCAAGGTCTTCTACAGTCGGCAAAACGTCCTCGAAAGCTTTTTTAACGTCGGCTTTCCCTACTATTCCCTTTGAAGTAAGATCTTTAAAGACCTTCGCAACATTGTCGACATCTTTTTGCTTTTTCTCTAAGACATCAGTTATGAAACTTAGCATCGCTTCTGATAGGTGTTGGGGAGGAAGTTCCTTCATGCATTTAGAAACCTCCTATTGGTAAGGTTCAACAGAAATTTTAGTTAATAATTATTCTTAGTGGAAATAAAGATACAAATTTCCAAATTTCAAGCATACGAACCTCTACATCCAAGACCGACCAATATTCATCAATCATACTCTGTATCTTTTTGCCTGCCTGTTCGGCCGTGAGACTTGGGGTTTCGGCCACTTTCTCTGTAGATGTTGATGTTGTATCCTTGATAAGAGCATCGGTAGATTTAATAGGGGTAGTTCCTTGAGTTGATCCTTTTGGTAATAGCTGCAACCTCTTTCGTTCTTGCGGAGGATTAGGAGTTGAAGATGATGCAACTGATTTTGCAGAGTCTATGGTTGTGGAAGTACCTTCTGTACTTTTCCTTCCGTCGATATTTTCGGTATGTGCTAACACGCTATATACATTGGTGCTACTTGTAGTGGCAGGAACTGGACTCGTACGGTTCGTTGCCGAAGACTTGTCATCGCGATCTCGATTATCTGCTTTCCAGCCTTTTGATCCTCCAGCAAGACCAGCGAATGACCCTTGTCCACCAGGAGCTAAGCTTAGACCAGACACTTTACTTCGTGAAACAGAGCCAAATTTGGACAAATCACCAGTTTTTCTTGATGCTGATGAAGAGCTTCCAACTGTGCTCCAACCATCTGCGTTAGCTGGAACATTTCCTCCGTGTGTTCCTTTGTCACGTGTATCCCGTCGCCCTGAGCCAGGTCGAGATAACTGTTGGTCGAGTCTCGGTAAACCTATAATTTAGAGTATTTTAATAGAAGTTTAATAAACAAACGAAAATTTCTCAAGGAAAAATGTAGACCAATATTTACCCCTTCCTCCGCTGCTAGCTGTCCGCCGTAAGAATTCGGCCTCCTCTTTCTGTTTAGCAGCCTATTCAAAATTGTGACTTTAGTAACTTCTAAAGAAAAACACGTACAAAAAAAATTATCGAGATAAATTATAATACACACATCTTCATGGATCTCTGCAATTGTCTTTGGTGCATTATTATCACGTCTTGGAACCCAATTGTTATTTCTGAGTTCAATGACATCCTGGATGTATTAGGAATGATCGAAATTATAATAAAAAAATTCAGCGTTAAATAACAGAAAAAAAATCAAATCGAATAAATAAAAAATGGAAAGAAAATAAATCTTACAAGTAACATAAACTTTATTCTATTGCTCAAATTAGGATTATCGCTCATAGCTTTCATCCTATTGAAATAGACGTCCATGTGTTCCTTAGCCTTTGGATGATCAAGTTGCTTACCAACAGTAGTAAGCAATTTACAAAGGCTTTCCGTCTCTTCCTCTTCTGGATTTGAGACGTTACTGAGCAGTTTCTTTATACACTCGTGCATGATCCTTTCAGTGAGCATAGTGAGCTTGAAGAGTTCGCCAATGAATTTGATTAGGCCGAGACCTATACGTTTAGCTTTCTGAGCGGCGTAATACTCATCGGATAAAAGATCGGGCTCTCCTTTTTCATTGCTAGGTACTGGTATATTTACTTTCCAACCCTTTTCGAAGTCCTCTTGGCAACGATTTAGTAAATATTTTCTATTTGTTTAAAAAATCAATATTCAAAGAAAACATGATTAGAAATAATTCAATTATAGGTATGAGTTTTTCCAAGTTTCAATTTAAAAAAACATTTAAAAAAACACAATCGAAATTGTACTAATAAATACCTAAACAATGTTCCACCTTGTACATATTTATTACCATCTGGGCTCTTTACATTCTCATCCACGATTTCCGGATCAATTCGCTCCATCATCTTCCTACAAAGCTGCGCATACATCTGACTGAAATTAGACTCATCACATGCTTTGAGGAAGGTGAGTTGGATGACTGTTCTTAAAATCCGACCATCTTTTTCGTTGCGTGATTTGTTGGCATAATCAATAATTTGATCAGAAATGCTGTCAAATTTCTCCAATGTCAATTTATTTAATAAAGCTTTGACTTTCCGTTGGACCACTTCTAGTGGAATGAAGTCTTCAGTAGCTTTTGGCAAGCCTCCAGCAATTGTTGGAGGTTGCCACCTGTTTTCAGATTGCTCAAGAGGAACTACTTGTTCAGGAGGAATTGTCGGAGCACCGGGTTGAGCATGTTGAGGCTTTCTTGATTGCCGGCCACCGCCACCGCGCCCACTTGGAGTTCTTCCCGGGCTTGGTGGATTATTGTTAGATAACATAGCATTAGGCAATAATGGGTTGTTACTTCCGGATCGGTTACTAAGTGGAGGACGTCCGCCGAAACTACTGCTGTTGGATCGGCTCATGCCAAGATTGATAGTGGATTGCTGGAATCTTTCATCACTAGTTTTTGGTGGTGATTTAAATTCGCCCATGTTCGCGTATTGAGATGCACCAGCCGGTTTATGCTGAGGTGTTCTTGTACCACCAACACCAGCTCCACCTCCACTAGATCCTCCAATATTTCGCTGTTGACTACGTTTTTTATCTTCTTTCGATTCCTCCATTCCAATAGCATCCAAAGCTGGTAGATTTTCCGGCTTTTCTTTGCAAACATCCATAAATTGCATTAAAAATGTCCTGTCATATTTAAATTTACCAGGTTCCGCATTTGCATTTAGTTGCGGATTGGGAGATTTAATATTTGGTGGATAAGGAACAGTATTCAAGTCATCGATGATCCGAGCGCTTCCTAGAGCACTTAGTGGAGCACTTCCAGGGGCAGAAGCCGACGTCGCTTTTGTTAGATCAAGAGGACCTGGACGGCCCTTGGTTACTTTCTTTTCTTCTTTTTTAGGTTCAGCTTTTTCTGCTAATTCTGCTTGTTTCTGCTTTTCCGCTTCTTCGGCAGCTTTTGCAGCAGCCGCTTCCTCTTCCTCTTTTTTCTTTCGTTCTAATTCAAGACGTTCCTTTTCCTCTCGTTCCTTCTTCTCTTTCTCCTCTTGTTCTTTTTTTATTCTTTCAGCTTCTTCACGTTCCTTCCTCTCTCTCTCCTCTTGTTCTTTTTTTATTCTTTCAGCTTCTTCACGTTCCTTCCTCTCTTTCTCCTCTTGTTCTTTTTTTATTCTTTCGGCTTCTTCACGTTCCTTTCTCTCACGTTCTTCACGTTCCTTCCTCTCAAGTTCTTCACGCTCCTTCCTCTCTTTTTCCTCCTTTTCTTTTTTTATTCGCTCGGCCTCTTCTTCTTTTTCCTTCCTTTCTTTCTCCTCACGCTCTTTACGTTCTTTTTCCTCGCGCTCCTTCCTTTCCCGCTCTTCGCGCTCTTTACGTTCTTTTTCCTCACGCGCCTTCCTTTCCTTTTCCTCGCGCTCTATGCGTTCTTTCCTTTCTTTTTCTTCCCTTTCTATTCGCTCCTTCTCTTCGCGTTCTCTTTTTTGACGTTCCACCTCTTTACGCTCTTTTTCTATCCTCTCGCGCTCCTCCCGTTCTTTTTCTTCGCGCTCCCTTCGCTCCTGCTCTTCCTTTTCTTTTTTTTCTCTTTCTTTTTCAGCAGGATTTACTATCTTTACCGCTTTCGACTCTTTAGCTTCATTTAATTGTTTTTCTTTGTCCATATTAATCTCCGCCGATTGTTTGGATTCGGTTATTGCCGTCGGCGGAGTCTCGTCTTTCTTTGGTAACGAAGATTTTTGCGGTAAAGGATTTTCTTTTAAGCTAAGCGGATTAATTATAGGAATGGCCTTGTTTTTAGCCGGAGGAACAATTTGTGATGAATTGTTTACATGAGGTGGTGTTTGCATGGGAACGCGTTGCGCTGGAACAGTATATGGCATCGGATAAACAGGAGGATAGTATGGTTCGTAATACTGCTGGAAAGGATACTGGTCAGATGAGCTCCGTCGTTATTATTGTGATATATATAATGTATAATGCGATTAAAAAAAAAAAAAACAGAAATTAAAAATAATTACCCGATATTGTTGCCACATTTGATGAGGTATGGCAGCTGATTGATGAGGTAACGTCATTGGCGCCGTGTTGGGAACATTGGTCTGTGGTGGATTCATGTGGGGAGACGGAGGAATATGCACCGTAGGAACGTTTTTATCCCTAGGTGGTCTTTGATTATTATATTGATTTGATATTCCAGGTCCGACTGTTGGAGCATGAGTCATTCCACCTGTTTGTTTGGGATGTGGGTTGTGTTGTCGAGGATGTGGATGGAAATGTCCACCATGATTATGTTGAGTATTAGGATTCGGGTGGTGAGGCGGAGGATGTTGATGTGAGGGATGATGTGTTGATTGTTGTGACTGTCCAT